AATATGATGAAGGTAATGAGGCTGAGGATTTGAATATAGAATGAATATAATTTCTTGACTGAAGGTGGGTGAGGAAATGGTTCATACTTCAAAGCTAAAGATACTGTACATGGAAGTAAAAAAGCTAGTAAATATTAATAGGGCAAAATAGAGGAAAAAAGAAAAAGAAAGGTCATGGTTACTCACACATATAACAACTGGATGCTTATCCTTCCTCCAGCAGGCAAAGTGATGGTCCTCTGCACTTTTGACTGTCCCAGATTTAATATTTGATGAGAGACACAGTTCTGTTGACAAATTCCATTAACGATTAAAAGAAATGACAAACAAACACATCTCATTTACTTTAAATCACAAAAAGCATTTGTAACTATTCAGTACTAATGATTCCTTTCTAAACCACAACTACAATACAGAAACTTAAGAAGCTTTGCCACATCTGAAGAAATTATTAGATGGACTAACAGGCTTTAAACCAATTCTAGACAAACTGTACTGGTTAAGCTAAGTCAGTGGAAGTAATATCAGCTCAGAGGGCTCTGTTTTTTGGGCCCCTTGCTGTAGACACCCAAGACCAGAAGTGCTTGCTACTAGTTTTCAGATGGTACTAGAACAGACAGAAGCATCATACATCAAGAAAATGCATATGCTCTTCAATTTCAATATAATATGTCAAACAAAACAACCTTTGCATGCAGACACAGCAGTGACAAGAATCTGATAGAAGTACTGCACTAAAATGGGTATCAGAAATATTTTCTTCAGAAAAGATTGTAATTACATAATTTACACTGGTAGCTTGTAAATGGTAACTAAATTTCATGTGACTTGTTTTACCATAGGATAAAACTGGACCACTACTGCCAGCAAAATCCCTCACTCATTAAGAAAAGCTCAAGAGGCACTACTTGCTTGAGTACCCAGGGAGTTTTAAGTCCAGAGTTAGAATGCACAAAGAGGCAAAAACATATATTTTGTTCAACATAAGGCCTACACAATCACTTGCAGTAAGTGTCTACCTTTAACCCACCTTGGCCACTTTAAACCTAATGCTCAAACTCCTAATGCTAAACACAGTATGTGGAATTATGGTCTCTGAAAATATAAAAAAATATAAACGGAGGTCCAGTCTCTTACCAAGTGGAATAGCCTGACATTTGACAAGCTGCAACAGCTCCTGTGACCCGCCTGTCTCCGGGTGAATGAACGTCCCATGACCGATTCTGTCTATAAGTTCAGTCTTCAAGAGTTCCAGTGTTTCCTTTTCATTTAGAATCTACAGTTGGAAGAATGTAAAATATAATTGAATATTTTGTGATGAAATTGAATCCCGTATTACAAAAGAAAATGTTAGTTTCAACTAAAAAACATTTGTCTACATCCACAGACAAAAAGAAATACCAGGATATCTAGCAAAAATATCACTCTAATATTTACAAATGCCAATATTTCCACATCCACTATCTAAGGGCAATTATCCAACATATCAAAATACAGGCAATGATCACTAACCTCCGCAAGATGAACTGAGAGCTTGAGTCCAGACTGCTTTGCTTCTCGCAGTACGGGGATATAATCAACAAGGTTTCCAGCCTGGGGATTCCCACTTATGTCCATTCCGCATAGAAGGTTTTTAAAGCGTTCCTGAAAATATTTGAAAATAAAAATTATTATCAAACTTTGTTTCCCAGCATTACAGAGCTACAAAAACAGTGAAAAATGGATATCAATCTTCATTTACATTTCCCTTGATAACATAAAAAGAGAAAAATAAAGAGAAAACACAATAAACTCACATGAGCAGCATATTGCTTAGCTAACTGCAGAGTGTCCCATGCATCGTCCAAGCCACGAGAACGGTCGATGGAAATGAGTAATCGAATGGTAATAGCGTTCTGATTCATTTCTTCTCTGTGAATGGTGGAGTGACTTGCACTATTAAAAATTATTTTTTTCAGTTTGTGATTTTGATATATATACATATTTCAAAACTTTTCATTCCACAGAAGAATTTTTAAAGAGAAATAAATGCCTGAAGTTAGAACAGAATGACCTGAATTAAAACATCATAGCTAATATGAACAAAAACTTAAACATAATGAGTAAATTAAATGTTAAAGAGTTAAATAAATGAAATACAGAACACAACCCACATCATAGCCTCGAGAACTGTATCAATATACTGATTCTTGGTCATTACTCCATGAATTGCTTTTGGGGTCGTTCTCAGTTCCAAATAGCACACATTGTCCGCTACGAACTCCTGAATAACATCTCTCGTTATAGTCTTTATTGCGCTGAGATTATCCGTTAGGCAGTGTAGTATCCTGAAGACTTCGAAACACCTGGAAAGGAGAAGGGATTTTGTTGATGTCATAAGTGTTTATCATCAATCATTAGCAGTGCATTTCAAGTTATTATCAAAAGTGCATGCAAATAAATGATGGGTGAGCTTGCGAAATATGCCCGAAAAATAAAAAAAATAAAATAAAAAAGCCAA